GATTTTGAATAGTGATATGATGGGAAATGTGTGGTTGAAAAAGAAGAAAAAAGTATTGATGTGATGGAAAATATTATTTTATTGAAAAATGTGTGGTTGAAAATGAGAATTGATTTACTGTAGAAAATGAGAAGTTCTACCAAACAGGCTCTAGATTCGTAGACGGGGTCGACTGATCCGTTCCCATAGTACACTACAATTGTCCATCTCTATTATGTTACACACAATCTCATCCTTATAATACTTTCCAATAGAAAATGAAATTTTAGTATCTCCATATTTTGAATTTCTTACTCCCTTTTAACTTGTGAAGTTTGATAGTAAAATGAGTATTTTTTAGTCTTCAAATTTAAAACTTTCACCAATTATTTGGATACCAAGTTCACACTATTTTCATGATTTATTATCACAATGCATACTTGTTGATGGTGTATCATATTCTAAAATTTTTGTTGTATTTCAAATTGGACTCTTTTATATCTTTTCGATAGATATTCGCAAAATCCTTGATAACTTGTGTGAAAACAAACTTAGTTGGCACTCCAAGAAACTCTCTAGTCACCTATTGCCTTGTTCTAGGCTCGTTGAGGCAATCAATATTCATAACAGTTAAAGTCTGTAAATTCTTGTCAGATGCATCTTCAAACAGATCCATCATTCATTACAAATTCTGGATCAAGATTGGTTTTGCACCAATCATCCTCACAAAGATGCGTACCACTACCACCATAAGTAGACATCAATCAAGGACAAACCTTACTCTGATATCAATTTGTTGGGAAAGCATTTGTAAATTCTTATAATAAGAATTATGTCATAAATAAGAACAATATTGAAATAGTTTTTTTTTTTTATTGATTTATGATTAATTGTGTTGAAAAAGTGTACAACGTCTATTATTCCCTACTCTAATACTAGAAAACTAATATAAGGAAATTAAAATAAAGTCATAATCTAAAAGAAATTGGAAAATCTATTCTAATCCATAGAGAAAAGAAATCATATTCTAAACAGAAAATAAGAATTAAAAGATAAAACCTATTAGAACTAGAAAAGGTAAACATAATTAAAAGATAAACACAACAAGTACTAATGATGATTATGTACTGAATCGAATAGAAAACTTTAGAAATGTTACATTTTAACCGCAGTAAGAGAATCACATTGCCTTTAGCACTTTCATAGTACTCCTCGCTAATTCCTCGTTTTTGCTCATTAAGCTCAGGAATACATTTATTTGCTGGGGGCGATAAAAATTCTCCAATGGACTTTACACGACGGCTGCATAAGAACTATGTCATTTATCTTCGACAATTTCTAGATGCACATAAATAACTATCCGTCGGCAGCTATTCAGACTACAGTTTTTTTCTTTTTTTTTTTCTGGAAGGCGAAAAGTTTTAACTGTCAATAACTAACCTCATTCACATCTTACTAACGTCCGTGAAAGCTAAGATCCTACAGAAGCAATGCCTTTTGTTTTAGCTGCAGCGGTTGCGGCTGCTGCTGCTGCTGCTGCTGAATTGGGTGTCGAGGGAGGAAAAGCATTGGATTGTGAATTACTTTGGACGTTTACAATATGCTGCTGCTTCTGTTGAAACTGCTGAGAGTTTACCTGAGCAAGCAGGGCCTTTATTTGACTTCCTGTAAGCGTCTCATGCTCGAGCAAAGCACTGGCAAGTGCATGAAGCTCCTTACCATGTGTGGTGAGAATCGTCTTGGCATTAATATATGCCCTTTCCAAGAATTCTTTCACTTCCTGCTCGATGAGAAGCCGAGTCTCGGTGCTCATGCTCTTACCATTATCATTGTAATCGTGAGTAACGACCCCGACTTGTTTACTCATGCCATACTTGGTAACCATTGCTCTAGCAAGTTTCGTTGCTTGCTGGAGATCACTTGATGCGCCAGAAGTTACTTCGTTTTCTCCAAAGGTGAGCTCTTCTGCAACTCGTCCACCCATGCAAACATCAAGACGAGCAAGCATCTGCTTACGTGATATACTTGTTTCGTCCTTGTCGGGCAACTGGGCTACCATCCCGAGAGTCATCCCTCGTGGAACAATGGTCGCTTTGTGAACTGGTAGTGCGCCATCAGTATGCATGGCTACGAGAGCATGGCCACCCTCGTGATAAGCTGTCAGCTTCCGAGATTCCTCAGATAAAACAGCTGATTTTCGCTCACTTCCCATCATAATTTTGTCCTTGGCATGCTCAAGATCAGCCATTGTCACTGCTTTGGCACCATCCATTGCAGCCCTGAGAGCAGCTACATTGACTAAGTTTGCAAGATCAGCTCCTGAGAATCCGGGAGTTCCTCTTGCAATTATCATCAGATCAACATCATCTGCCGTGAGAACCTGTGAGATTGCACGTGTAAGTGAAGGGAAAAGGTTCGGTCTTTCGTACAGGAAAGTTAAAGCAGTTTAATTGCAAAAGTCAAAATACGATCTTATGAAATAAGATGAGGGAGCAAACAAAAAAATAACTCCTATTTGACTTGTCGCAAGATTTACGATAAATAAATTACACAAATTGCCTTCTATCCTGGACTTCTGTACGGGCCAAACTGCTTCAACTATAATCGAGGCACATAAGCCATTTCTTCATGGCATCAGTTTTATTTTTTCTTTTTCTTTCTTTCTTTCTTTCTTTCCTTTTTTTTTTCCTGAGCACGTTAATAACAAATGATGATTATAAATAATGTGTATCTGGTTGTAGTCAATCAATGTGAGACTCAAAAAGGAAATCGTGATACAAGTTAATTACAACAGGTGATCATATAATTTAGCCTCAGTTTCACAAAATTTATAAAACATTTCTAAATGGTCAAACTTCATTTTCAACCACACATTACAATAAACACACAAGTACTATCCACTTCCCATCACTCATTTCTATCAGTTTATAAATTAAACTATTTATAAATTCTTCCCAAACAAAGGCACAATGTAGTATCCAGTTATCCATCACACATTTCTATTACTTTATAAATTAAACTTTTTATAAATTCTTCCCAATCAAAGGCAAAATTGAGTAAAAAAATTATTTCTACATTGGGGGCTAGTTAATTATGGTTGTTACAGATAAGAGACGATCAGTTATAAAATTCTTGGAAAATGTTTTGATTGCTACTTTTGTTCTCTCTCTATAAATCAGTAGCCAAGAAACCAAACAGACGACTAAGATGAAGCATTTGTACATATACATTAAGGGATGCTTCGACATTGCCAAACCTGACATCAGAATATTTGGTTGAGCATAAGAAGATGAAATTGTACTTTTACGCTAAAAAAAGAGGTTACTAGTTATTTTGGAGTAATTCTTACCTTCGTAACTTATTTCCAACTTGGCCAATTAAAAAAATGTTAAGCCTAGCACGTGCTTTATCAAGAAATTTTATAATATCCCGCAATAGGCGAATACCTTTGACATGTGGGATTCCAAGATCTGCCTGCGCCCTTCGACATCAGGATTGGGTACAACAATTTGACAGTCAAACCGACCAGGTCTCACCAGTGCCTTATCCAACGACTCTGGAAAATTAGTTGCAGCAATCACAATAATACCCTCATTCTGTTTGAAGCCATCAAGTTCAACAAGTAACTGATTTAATGTCATCCTCATATATTGCTGATCCTTCGGGTTGCGTCTTCCTCCAATGGCATCAATCTCGTCAATGAAAACTATTGATGGTGATCTCTTCTTTGCAGCAGCAAAAAGATCTCTTACTCTTCGGGCTCCAACACCAACAAACATTTCTTCGAATTCACTGCCACTGCACGAGAAAAACGGCACACCTGCTTCTCCAGCTATGGCCCTTGCTAACATTGTCTTACCAGTTCCTGGGGGGCCAATAAGTAAAACCCCTTTTGGAAGCTTGCCACCAAGACAGGTGAAGCGCTGTGATAAAGAGATGCATAAAATAAGAGCATTCCTCTATAGTTTAGCAAGTCCAAATCATAAAAATTTAAAGCAACATCATGAAATTCTACCTCCCTATACCCTCCCGAAAAGAGGGAAAAAGAGTGATTATAAGCAATTTAGCTGATAATGTAAGCATAAGCGAAACAGTAACAAGTCCAAAAGTGAATTCTCATTGACGGTGTTGATCAACAGGAAAAGTGGTAGTGTGATTTTTCTCAGGAGAGGTGATTTAACAATATAGTACACCTAATAAGCAGTTACCTCAGGGTCTCGAAGGTAATGAACAATTTCTTCAAGTTCAGATTTTGCCTCATCAACTCCCTTGACATCACTAAACTTTGTACTGGATTCCATACTGGGTTGCACTTCTTCTTGTAGACCAAGCCCTGACAGAGCAAACATGAATGCAAAACTAGAATACATATGATTCGATTACAATGGAACTGAGATAGACAGCAAAAGAGCCAACAGTATTTAAGATAACAATACCTTTACCGATTCCTTTATCTTCAATGAGTGCCCCGAAAGCTGAAATCAAGAGAAAAGCCATACCCAGAGCACGGGTAGTGCGCCATAACTGTTCCTTAAAACTTCCACCTTCACCAGTCACCATGTGTATAGGAGCACTTGCAGTACCAAGAATTCTCCCTTTAGAAGATCTCACAGTATTTTTAAAAGCTGAAAGTGCTTCAATACTTTCTTCCCCAACCCATGAGTTAGTAGTGCCTGAGATCCCTGTGAAAGGAGACCAGATAATGTGGTTGAAATCTAGGGAAACAGAAAACAGTATCTACAGTCCCATTTAACAGGTAAATAATTACTTCCGTCTTCATTCTAAGTTTCTTGCCAAACGGATACCTCTATTTCCAAATTTTGTAGCAAGTTAGTCTTTATTCAAGGATTCTTCCCAAAGGTTCCTTTAAAAATCCAAATGGTTTGCATGTGATCAGGGTAATTGTTGAAAAGACCAATTTACTTTTAATTGTACTTCAGTCATGTATTCTTTAATTTTTGAATTCGACCCTAAACTCTGCAAATTTCTTTGAGTCAATCCTCTTTCTCAAGTCAAAATCCTTTCCTCTTCAATTGCTCTCTTTGCGAAACTCTTGAGAAAAATTAATACATGAAATAGAAGGAGTTCAGTATTTGGAGCTCTTCAAAAGAGAGCTTTTAAGCAGAGGTGGTAAACCCGAAGACAGAACTTAAAGTAGAGCAGAGTAGGAGTTCAGTTGTAGGAGAACTTCAAAGGAGTAAGCTTAAAACACTGAGGTGGTAAACCTAAAGACGCAATTTTCTTATCAAAGTTTACCTCTGTGCAATGTCTTAAGCAGCTCACTTTCCTCAAGCCTATCAACCTTAACCAGAGCCTTCACATATTCGGCAAGAGCAGATGGGTTAGAATGTAGAGAAGGTTGTCTCTCAAACAACTGAATGACTGCCTCTGGATCATTTAGATAATAGAGCTCCTTAAGATATGCAGCAGCACTCGATTTATCAGTATCACGTACTCTACGAGTTAGACTACCAATGTAACTAGACTGATGACTTCCTAGAGTACTTGCTCCTTGAGTGCTAGGTAACTTGCTCGCTACACAAGAAAAATATAGACTAAGATGCATATAGATACCATTAAGTGTATATTCCCAAGAAGAAGATAAGAATGGAAAATTGTTTGCAGCAGATACCTATTACTATTCAAGGTGCAAACTGTAAAATAATATAAAAAGCAATAATTACTATGGGGCACAAACACGGGACAGTGCTAACAGAAGGAACTGACATCTCCAAAAGTGTAGGACACAACAGCTAGAGACATTTAAAAAAATTTATATTTTCTAATACTGAATTTAAAAGGTTTTTTGGAACTAATAAATTTGAAAAATTTTAAGTACAGTAGAAAAAGAATAAGTTCACTTGTGGCATTTAAATTTGATTCTCAAGATAGAGAGAATAGAGTACTCTGTAGAATTCAATGAAACACATTACCAATAGTGACAACTATTCTCTTTAGAAAGCTTTCTTCCTCCAATATTTTTCCTCCTCTCTACAGATCCAAAAATTGTCATATTATTATCTTATCTATTTCTCTCTTTCTCAGATAGTATTTGATCTCAAAACCGTTCACATGCTTGTTTCCAGATTGTCACATTCTCAGAGCGTGCCAAGCTCATCATTTGTGTGTCCGAATGGTGTACAAAACTAGCAAAGATTGAGAGTGTGTCCTCGGACTTTCTTCCCTAGCTTGTCTGTGTCCTATACAACCCCATGTGTCCAAAATATGTCCACATCATTTACAAGTAGGACATGAGAACTGAAGACATGAGTCTGTTCTTCCTAGGTAAACTCCAATGATTTCATAAGCTATAAGGATGCTAAAACGCTACCAAGAGTACAATTCGTAGGTTGAAAAGTTGGACTTACAAATTGTGCTGTTCGCTCCGAAAAATTAATATCATGTGATTCATGTCATGCACACATCGTGTAAGTGAAATATTCGGCCGGACATAAGCAATGACAGACCATTTAACCATTGCTAAATGATTTGGAGCTAATACCCTTGATAAAAAACAAATATCCCCAATATATATTAAAGAAAGTAAAGGAAAAGAATACTCAATAGAGCCAACAGACACAAATAGATCTAATTGGCAAAACCTGATGCTATCAAAAGTAACTTCGTCACGTAAAGCCTGGTAGCACTACACATAAACATCCTTGAGATCAAGAAGTTAATTCAAAGCAATTTCAGGATCAGTTCTATCTCACTAGCACTACATCACAATGTGTTGAAAAAAAATGGTTGCTAACAGGAGTTTATAATATTACCTCCGCCCCTTCTAGTCACCTGCGAAGTGTGGTAAGCTTGCGCAACCAAATTGGTTAACTGTCTCAATTGTGGTTCCTGCCTTTTGACCTAGAGCAGTAAAAATAAAATAAGAAAGCGAAGAAACATGTATCCAAAACTCCGATACTGGCATGAAATGAAGCATTTATAATGTAAACTCATCAAATTTACTAGCAACCTTTCTTTTAAGACAATGACAATACACTATTACACAAAACTACATAGATAATTAACAAAAAGGAAAACAAACCTGAGAAGAAGATTAGGGGAAAGAACTCAAGAGCTGACAAAATCTTTAAAATGTCATCTTTTTTCTTGATTAAGCTTATAAAAATCAGATTATTGCTGATTAACTCAATAAAATTCAATATTTCCAAGGTTCCATATCGATTATACAATTAAACGTAAAAATGAAAATGTTATTCCTCAAAAAACCCATTTAGGCCAAGATTACCCCCGGTCCTGCCAAAGTTGCACTTTTTAAATCACATAATATTAAACCCAGAAATCTTATTAATTCAACAAACATGTACATAAAACCCATATAAGAACTAAGAGATTAGGTTTCTGTACCCGCACAGAACCGGGAAAAAAAGCAAATGCACAAAGTAACTCTACAATGGCCCAAAAGCAAAAGAAATACTATGAAAAAATCCTATGATAAATCTAATACATTAACACATAATATACATAAAAGGAAAGTGATGAAGATTTAAAACTGGCCTGGATGAGAAGTCGTCTCAAAGACATCTCTCTCTCTCTCTCTCTCTGCAGCTATTTGTGTATATAAATGCAATCTATATGTGCGTGAATCCTTGGATATCAGGAGAGTAAAAAACTGATCGAAAATGGGGAAAGAGAGAGCAAAAGAACGAAAAAAAATATTAAAAAGAGAAATACACAATCAGCAGCATAAATATATCATCGAATTGGACGGGAAGGTGCTATCGTCACCCATTTCCTAATAATGGCCCACCTCTGGTGTTCACCAAACCGGGGGAGATTTTTCTAAAATGGCCTAGTCAACAATAGTATTGGACTTTATTGTTAAAAGGATTTGTCTAAATGTACACAATTCATTACATAATAAATTACAATAAAAAATTAGTGGACCCCCCTCCATGTGAGGGGGTATAATCCATGGGAAAAATTCATGGGTCATGTATTATCTTTCACGAAATCACAAATCAAGCTCGATGGTTTAGATTTTCAAAAATCAAGTTTTTCCACGATTTAATTAA